GGAAGGAAGATAGTACCTACTAAACAGGACCAAATAGGTTAGCGCACGTGGAAGAGCTTCAAAAGCAGTCAAGTATGATCTAAATGATTTTCTTGTCATTAATGTATTTAAAATGTGTTACCCATCATAGAAAGGACCTTTCAGAAGTGAGTCTGTCTGCAGGAATTCCCTCCTGTGGCTGGGATATAAATTTTGGGTCCAGTGGCTCCTCAGCATTGTTTCAATCACCGCACGTGATCAGCCACTTTTTTCACCCATGCTTTGAACATGGCCTTGATGATTGGTCAGGAAGCACTGAATTGCTACTCTTTTTGTACACAGTTTTGATTTTTGTACATACAGATCTTACTGAAATGTATTTCATTTCGTATTCCTGTCACTCCAGTTATTTATCCAATTTTTTTTTTCACTTTCTTTTTGACATGCATTTCTCTGGAAAAAAGAAAGTGAAAACATTATTGATGAAAGCTTTCCAAACTGACAAGGCATCATCTGACATTGTAAAGAGGGCCAATTTGGGCTGTGACCTCGGGATTCTGCTTCTCAGACAGTGTTGCTCTGATCCCAGACACTTGAAATGTTACAGTCCATTCCAGAGGTCCTGTAAGCAGCTTTTGACAGAGAGCTAGATATTCTGGAACTGAGCTGTACAGCCATGGATTCACTGTGGTAAATCAAAACTCCGCTCTTGCTCTGAGATGTGCCCGGTGGCACATGGAATGGATGTCATAGCATTTGGGAGACGGAAAGGAACAACATTTACCATAAAGACCCTCCTGCCCTGAGTGACACCGAGAGGAGACAGTCCTGCTGAGTCGGAGCCCTCGGTGACTGGGTCTCAATATTGTGGAACTCAAAATACAGATGATAGCCAAACTGTATTGAGCTGGGTTTGGCTTTTCTTTGATTCAGTGGGTTTGGCAGGTCCCTGAGGGCCTTGGTCACCTTCATGAGTATTAGTGGTCACAGAGTCCAGCCTGTAGTGGTACCAAGTGCCAAAGGGTAGATCCATTTTTTCTGGGCCTTTGACACATTGGAGAATTTGTTTTCCTTATATTAAATCCCTATTACCAACTTGCACATTGTTTGGTTGCTTTTCATACAGCAGAAGGCAGATTATGAAACAATTTATCTCGTTTTGTTGTTTGCTGATGGTTTTAATTTTGCACAATTGAGTCTCACATTTCAGGAACTCCAATCAAGTGCTTGCTTTTGAGTGTTTCTGGAGGTGTTCTATAAATGGTGAATTTGTTCAGTGTATCTTGTATTTACCTTCAAAGAAAATTTCAAGAGGTTGTAACAGAGTTCCACTGGAGAGGCTGCTTAGTGATTTACTTATTTTATTGTTTCGATATTTAAAAATTTTTTTCTCAACTGCATAAACAACTTTGGCTGAATATTTAGCACCTAGGACAGGAGGGACATCAAAAAAGTTATAACTATATTCCTTATGTTCAAAAAGTTTAGTAGAGGCATAGAAGCTAAAAATAGACTCAAATCAAATTCCCAGAGATAAAAACAACAATGTCTGAGATGAAAAATACACTGGATGTGATTAAGACAGATTAGACATTGAAGAAAAGATTAGCGAACTTGAAGACATAGCAATAGAAACTATCCAAAATTAAACAGAGAGAAATTCTTTTTTTTTTTAAGTGGAAAGAGCATGAGGTATAACTTCAGGTGGCCTAATATGTGTGTAATTGGAGTCTGCTAAGGAAGGAGGAGAGTAACAAAAAATTTTGAAGAAATAATGGCTGAGTATTTTTCAAATTTTATGAAAACTATAAACCCTTAGATCCAGAAAGCTTAGTGAAGCCCAAGCACAAGAAACATGGAGAAAACGAAACCAAAGCACTTCATAATCCAAATTGCTCACAACCAGTAGAAAAATCTTAAAAGCAGCCAGAAGAAAAGACACAGTACGCACGGATGAACAAACATAAGGATGATGGCAGATTTATTGTCCAAAACGATGCAAGTGAGAATAGAGCAGAGTGACACCTTTACAGATGGCGGGAGCCAGGGGGACAGAGGAAGTAAACCGTTAACCCTGAATTCCACACTCAATGAAAATATCTCTCAAACATGAAGGCAAAACAAAGCCTTTTCCACACATACAATGGCTGAAAGCATCATCAGCTGAACTGCACTGTGGGAAATATTAAAGGAATCCTTTAGGTAGAAAGAAAATGATACCAGAAGGAAATATGAATCTACACAGAGCAATGAGGAGCATTGGAAACCAGAATTATATTGGGGACGCCGTGAGTTTTTCCTTATGATTTAAATGTCTTTAAAAGGTATGTAACTATTTCAACAAAAATAATCATGTAGGGTGGGTCCTATAAACTTGTGTAAAATGTATATAATAGGAGAATAAAGACTGGAAAGAGGGAAATGGAAATATATACTTGTAAAGGAGTTACACTATACGCGAAATGGTGTAATATCATTTAAAATAGACTGTGGTAAGCGAAACCCTGACAGGAACCACTGACAGTTAAGCTTGAGACTTCAATGCCCCTGTTTCAATAAATGATCGAACAAAGAGACAGATGGTCATCGAGGACTTAGAGACCTCGCAACAATACAGTCTATTTGTAAATAAAATATATTTGTCTAGCTATTTCTTACAAGCGTATTCTTATCATACAATCCCAGCAATTGCGCTTCTTGGTATTGACCCAGTTGAGTTGAAAGCTATGTTCACACAAAGACCTGCCCATGAAAGTTTATAGCAGTTTTAATCATAAATGCCAAAAACTTGGAAGCAACGGAGATGCCTTTGAATAGATTAATGGGTAGATGGAATATTATTTAACAAACAAAGGAAATGAGCTATCAGGCCACAGAAAGACATGGGATCTTAAGTGGGCATTGCTCAGTGAAAGAAGCCAGTCTGAAAAGTTAACATACTGTATAATTAAGGCAAAACTGTAGCGACAGTAAAACGATTAGTTCAGGGGTTTGGGAGGAGGGGCGTAGGGATGAATTGGTGAAGCAGGGGACATTTTTTTAGGGCAGTGAATCTATTGCTCACAGTGCAGTAATGGTGGATACTTGACATGACCAAACACTCATAGAACTGCACAACACGAAGAGTGAACCCTAACGTAAACTATGGAATTCAGTTGATAAAAAAACAAAATAAATAAAAACAACAGCAACAGAACCACATCATGGTGAAACACTGAATGAATGTGGTTTGTTACATGCCAATTTTACATCAATAAACCTATTAAACATGTCAAGTCTTTGGCCGAGCTCCCCCTCCTGTGACACAGTGGTGACCTCTGAGCTCCCAGCTGCGCTGTCCTTAGCCGTTGGCGCCTTGTGGACAGAAGTGGTTTCTCCCCCTTCCCACGCAGTACTGCCATCTCCCGTGGCTTTCCCCAGCCTGGAGCGATGGTTGCTATTGAAGAGCAACTTGGATGAAGCCATTCTCCAAATGATGCACATGAGGCTCTGGGTCATTCTCTGGTGTTGAGTGTGTCTGATTCCCTCTCTGGAGTGGTGTCCACTCTGAAAATCAGAGCTGCCAAAGACCTGGGTTCTGATTTCTGTTTTGCTGTTAACTGCCTGTTCAATTTGGAGCAAGTCCCTTGCTTTGCCATGGCAGACCTCAGCTTCTTCACCTGTAGAATGAGCGGGTTTTCCAGGGTATTTCTCTGGTCCCTTCCAACTGTGACCCAGTTTCTGTTTGTAGCAAACCTCACACTTCTACGTGGAGTGGAATGTGTGGGGTGTGTGTATACAGGCCCACCCAGGGCACTTGACACAGCAGCAGCCCTACTGTGTGAAGAGGAACTGGGGACCCTCCCCACCGGCTGGTGCCCAGGGCAGGGGCGCAGGTTGGTGCTGGGTTCAGGATACAGCTGCTCCTCTCAGCAGTTATTTTATTTTATTTTATTTTTATAAGTGGTTTTTTGTTTTGTTTTTTTTAAGATTTTTATTGGGGAATTGGGGGGATGGGAACAGTGCTGGGGAATTGGGGGAAGGGGAACAGACAAGTTGCTGTCGTTTTGTTCTTCAGTCTAGTTGTGGAGGACGTTGCTTCACTGGCCCAAGTTGGCACCATCATTGCGCTCTTCCCAGGCGAGGCGCATCTGTCACCGGCTTCTGGATGGCCGCTCACGCTGGCTGCTGGCTACATATGATAGCCCATGGCAACCCACTGCCACAGGGGCTGCAGCCTACGCCATCGCCGGCGACTCACAGCAGCCCAGCTCCAGGTTGAGCTGTTGTTCAGCATCTTAGCTGTGGAGGGCAGTGTCACTGGCCCTCATATGTGGGATCCGAACCGGGGCCCTCTGGCGTCCCAAGCGAGTTCTTAACCATCGCGCCACTCGGCCGGCCCTCAGCAGTTATTTTTTTAGCCTTTCATGCTTTCATATGTCCCAGCCCTGAAATCTCTTTTGGCAGAGCCTCTCCTCCACCTTCAAAGAAGTGCCCACAAAGCAAAGTTCTGGTATTTTCTTAGCTTAGAACTGAGAGGTGGCCTGTGGTGTAAATGTTACTCCCAACTCTAAGGCTGAGAGTTGGAAGATTTTCCTAGTAACTGAGCCTCCTGGGAGCATTTAAAAAATGTTTTATGTTCAATTGGTTAAGTATACATTTTGGGATAGACATTCTTTAGGTAGTATTGTGCTGTGAGCCTAGCTCTACTTAGCTTTAAAATTTCTTTGAGGACCTTGGGGCCTAATATTTTGAGAAGCTCTGTTAGGTCCGAATGGGGCCATGGTAAAGTACCTGATCAAGTTCTCAACCTGGATATCAAAATCAAATGGTGCTTTGTGTATATTAGTCTATAACTTACGCATACTCTTTGGCGCTCCATTTTGATGTTCCACTTCGTCCTTAAAGAGAGAGGGCAGAGGACAGTCTGCTTCTCTGATTGTGATATCCTGGGACCATTTTCTGGCCCTCTAGAGCAATATTTTGAAAATTAAAACTCAAGAGGGGCAACTCACCCAGCTTTTGTGTTTGATTCCTTTTAGGACTTTGTTTAGAGAAGTTGCCTATTTCCTCTTCTACCAGTAATCTCCACGTGGACCGGGAGCAGGATGTCATCACCTGTTACGAGAAAGCAGGGGACATTGCACTCCTGTACCTGCAAGAGATAGAAAGGGTAAGTGAGGACCACGTGTTCCTTCCAGTTGATAATTTGTTAACATTTCAAATCAGATCGTAGAGAACTGTGATCAACCCCTGGAAAACCTTCAGCCTCTCTGCCTCTGGGTACAAAGCTTTACTTATACTCTGTAATGCTAAGGAGAATATGGTGCTGATTATGGCCCCTTGTGAAAACAGGTTAGTGTTTGGGAAACATTTTAACATCCTCTGATCAGAAATGACAGCATGCATCTGTTAACACCCTCAGTGCCCTGAAGGGACTAATTATTCCCATTCTTCTTTGCAAAATGGGCCAACCTTCATTTGTACTTGCGTGGACTAGATGCCAGTATAGTGGACATCGGGGTTTGGGCGCCTTTCCCTCAGTGGCTAGCAGGTCATGTATTCCCTGAGACCCTCTGGGATGGTTTCTCCCATCAGCCAGTTCCCTGCCTGTGGTGTGGGAAAATGGAGACCAACAGCTGACAAGAGGGCCACCTGAGCAGAGAATGAATGAGCGAGAGACCCCGAGCTCACCCCTCAGGCTGAGGAAGCTGGAGGCAGGAGGGCCCAGGCGCTGTGCGTCACTGTCTGTTTCGGGTTGCTGTCTTTGGGCTCTGCTCTTGACTAAGTTCCTTCATTCCTCAGCCTCAATTTTCCATCTGTAAAAAGGCGCATAATAATAGTTCCTACTTCATGGAGTTCTTGTGGGGATTATAAAAGATCATGTCAATAAAGGCACTTAGCCCAGGATTCTTGGCAAATGTCACTTATTTTTACTCGTAACAATAGCCCTTAGCCATCTCCGCTTCTAGCAGGGTTTTCTGGAGTTCTAACCGAGGCTCGAGGCTTGACGTTGATTATTTCCCCCTTCAGACCCAGAGACGTATCCTGCGAGATTGTTTGAAATGATTAGACATCCTGGGAGGCTCGGAAAATGACCAGACTGGTTTCCCATCAATTTTATGTGTTCCCTGTTTCCGTAAAGATTAAAACAAAGAGGGACTACCAAAGTCTTGTTAGTTTTTGTTATTTTATAATGTACAGACTGGAAGTCACTTTTTTCATAAATCTTTTATATGTAGATGTATGTGAAGTCTGGGAAAAATGACCTTCTGTAAGTGACCACTGGGCTTGGTGGAAGTTCAAGGGTTTTTATGAGACAAGATAATGGGTACTGTGCAGAAGATACCTGCTTGGCCTTTTTTTTTTTTTAATTGCACTTAAATGACTTTTAAGAATTACGCTAAATTGAAAACAGAAGTTTTAAGGAAATAGAATCTGAAAGAAGTACAAGACTGGGACAAGCTTAGGTAAATCGTGCTTTAGCTTTCTGAGTAGGCAGCCCTCTTACGTGGAAAATCACACATGATCTGTTCCTATATTTATGTGTTCTGCCTGCAGAGGCAGTCAGTCATTCAGTGGTTTTCCCCTCATTTCCCAGCCATTCTAGATGAAGAAACTTCTGTTTGCCAGGACCTTTTGGCATTTTATTTTTTAGTGCCGGCTCTTAACTTCATTCACCAGCAGGAATAAAATTGGGGGAGAACTTTTTAGGACGGTTCGGGGTATTTTGGCCAGTGTTTTTTTTTGTCACCTGGGACCACCGAATCGTGGTTCTGAGGCAGCCCCACTCTCTGAGTCTCCCTAATAGTGGGCATGTTCTGTGATGCTACTGTGGTTTGCTTCCCGAAGGGAAGTGACTCTTCAGCGAGGGAGCTGACCTTGGCTTTCCCTAACTTAAGCTGTGAGAGGCAGCAGAGCACAGCTGCAAAGCGACTGCCATTGTTTTGGGACCCTGCGCTTGCCACCTCTTAGCTGTGGATCTTCAGGCAAGTTCCTCAGCTTCTCTGTGCTGCTCAGGATCCTCATCAGGACAATAAGCAATAATAATTGCTGTAAGGTTGTTGTGAGGATAAAATGGTTTCACTCGTGTACTGCCCAGTACATGGTTAGCACACTGTGTTAGTTTTGTTGTCATTTTCTGTTCCTGTGCCACCTGCCAATGGAATCTTTCCTAACCACAGACGAGTTCATATATTTAGATAAAAATTGGAATATTATAAACACACTATTTGATTAAAAATGTTAAAGGATTTTTAGGGCAATGTTAATGGAGTAATTTTTTCAGGAGAATTTTGTTTTCTTTCCCTTGTGTGGAAGATAATGGGGAACATTGTGCCTGGAGTCCCTGTGTTATATCTGGGTTCTGGACTTCTGTTCATCTGACTAACTTTAGTTCAATCGTTTGTTTTGTGTGCTTCAGCTTTCTGTTCTCATGGCGGGGCTAATGCTGCCTGACTTGTCCAGGGCTACGAACCAGTGAGCTGCCAGGGTCTTCTAGCCAGGACATGAGGGCAGGGCCAAAGAAAATTGGGATACACGAAAGCTGTGTGCATTAAATGTTTGTTTAGTGTTGTCCTTGTTATATTAGGGTTACAGAGACATCTAATAATTTGTTCTCTGAATGGGGCATAAAAGAGACCTCTAAAATTGTGCATATAAAATAATTTAATCAAATGTAATCAAATTAGAGAAGATAGAATTAGTGAGGACATGGGATGGCCTTGATTCGTTTATCTTCAGATGGTGTCATTCTGCCAACAGTAAATCGTGTTATCTGCCCCACAAGGAGAGTCTAGTGGTGCAGTGATAGGAATAAAGATGACTTCATCCTTGGATAGCACAATGTGAGCCCCACTTTTGGCAAATGAAATCATCCTGTTCTGCCCTTTGCAGGCATCAGCCAACCAGCCGGCTCTGGCTTTTTTCAGCAGACGCAGTGCCAGGGTGGAACTTTACCTTCTGCTGACAGTTCATTCCTTTACACCCTATTTTAGAAAAGAAGTTAATGCTAGATTATGGGACACCCGTAGACTTTCTGTGGGCTCTTTCAATGCTAAAGTTTTGAGGAGAAACAACTGGACCCCAACCACTGCAGGGCCCAGCCCCATTTCCTCTGTTCATCGGGGCTTGTTCACGGGTCAGCCTGACCATGGCTGGAGCCTTTTGCTTCCTCCTCATAGGAAGAGCTTGCGGTGACATAGCTGATGTGTTGGCTTCAGAGCTGGATTAGATTAAGGTTACTGTGTGTCTTGAATTCAAACCAGACGTCCCAGGGAAAGTACTCCATGCTGCTGTTGAGAAAGGCAGGGTATGACTCTGGAGGTTCACGTGGCCGCACTTTTGGCGTTAAAATGTGAGACAATAAGGAAAGGACAGACTTTTTCTTCCCTTCCCCTTTCTAGTCCCTGCCTTTGGACTCGAGCCAAAGCAGCAGGTTCAAGTTCAAAGCTTAATGTAGTATATCTGAATGGATACTTCCTTAGAGAAATGGCAGGAAACTGGCCAGGTAGTGTGTGCTCTCACGTTGAGCCTGCCATCTGACTGACTAAAGCACACTAACAACCGAGTTCGAAATGTCCAGAAACCAGAAAAGAACAGTAGCTTATTTTAATCTTTGTATGTTCTCAGTCAGTCTTTGCCCTCAGAATTTCATAGTGCTAAAGGGTTTTACGTCTGTCTTTTTTTCACTCAACGTTATGTCAGAACTTGAAAGTGTTTTCAAGGCTATATAATATTTCATCAAGTGGATGGCCTCTTTGATAATATTTAACTTATTGTTGGGTATAACCTGTTGTTATGAATAATGCTGCGATGCCAACTTCCTTCAGGCAGCTGTTTGCTTTGCATTGTTTCCTAAGGGCAAGTTTCCGGAAGTGGGGATATGTCTTACCATTCTCATTACTACTTCTTGTTTCTAATTGCTTTGAACAGATCATACTACCTTTGGCAGTACAGGAAGGTGGTGGTTTCTTGGCAGCCTTGGTGGGGTTACTCTTGTATAAACGTTATTTTGCTGAACTGCTGGGTGAAAGTGGTAACTTACAGTTTTAGTTTGTACTTCTTTGACAGTCATTCAGGTTGAAATTGTTTCCACCTATTTGCTTACTGGTTATATTTCTTTTCTTTTCTTAATTGCAGCATTATTGAGATATAATTCAGATACCATACAGTTTCCCCATTTAAAGTGTACAATTCAGTGGTTTTTAATACATTCACTGAGTTGTGCAATCATCATTGATATTTAATTCCAGAACATTTTCATCACCCCAGAAAGAAACCTTGTACCCATTAGCAGTCACTCCCCATTTACCTCCAATCTCTCAGTCTCTATTGATTGGTATATTCTAGACAGTTCATATAAGTAGAACCATAGAGTATGTGGTCTTTTAGGATTGACTTCTTTGGCTTGGCATATGTTCTCAGGCTTCTTATGTGAGGTGTGATTGAAAAATACAGTGAATGTTTAAATTAAAAAATTTATTACAGTAAAAGACACACTACCATTAATCCCCCTAAAAATATGCCTCCTTACTTTGAACACACGTATCCCATCATTCTTGCCACTTTCTGAAGCGGTTCTGGAAGTGCTCTTTCGTGAGCGTCTTTACTTCATCCTCTATCATGACAACGCTCCGTGTCACACATCGCTTCTGGTATACGGCAATTTCTGTCAAATAAAAACATTATGGTGTGTCCTTATCCACCTTTTTCACCGGATCTTGCAGCATGTGACTTCTGGCTCTTCCCCAAAGTCAAAATGACCATGAAAGGTAAATGTTTTGAATAGATTCAGGACATCAAGGCAGCCACGACAGCGCAACTAAAGACACTCAGGAAAGAGGGCTTCCAGAACTGCTTCAGAAAGTGGCAAGAACGATGGGATAAGTGTATTCGAAGTGAAGGGGAGTATTTTGAGGGGGATTAATGGCAATGTGTCTTTTACTGTAATAAACTTTTTTTATTTAAACATTCACCATATTTTTTTATCACACCTTGTATGTTGTAGCATGAATCAGTACTTCATTTCTTTTTATTGCCAAATAATATTCCATTTTATGGAAATACTACAATGCGTTTATCCATTAGTCATTTATCATTTGGGTTGTTTCCACTTTTTTGCTGTCATAATAATGCTGCTATAAATATTTCCATACAATATTTTGTATAGAC